CTGACATGATTCTCCAACAACTCAACTCAACAACAGCAACAAGTTCCTGTACAAATTATACTACCAACCAGTGAGGAAGAACAAGAAAAAGAATTGCCAGTTAACGAACCAATCCAAGTAATACAGTTGGAACGTGATGAGCCAACTCCTACAACCTTTTCAGAATTTGTCTCCTTCTCCTATGAAAGAGTTGGACTGCCCCAAGATTATACACGAGTAAGCATTATCAAGGATGAGATTGGTTCTGAACCTGCCCTTGTTAAAACTGAAAAAATTTCCAAGAGCAAACACTCCAAAGTTCTCATTCTTCTCAGCAGTGACAGCAACAAGGCAATTAATTATTCAATCAAGGTACTAGAGTCGCCAGTCAAACACACACAAACAGGAATAGTTTCTTCTACTGTGGAATATGAACTGGAGAATATTGAAATGGAAATGATTACTCTAGAGTTTGAATTTACTCATTCTCTCACCAACAGATGGCTTTCTTATTTCACAACTCCAGAACAGATTCCATTCACTATTGAAATTTATGTTCAATCGAGAATTCCAGAACATACCTCAACTCTTTCTATTGAATCAATCAATTAAAATTATTTGTGACTCTTTCAGAATTGTGAAATTGAGAAACTTTGTATGAGAACAATTAGGATAAATGTAAATTTGCAGTTGTTAACTATCCAACGCCTACTGACCTTTCTTTTTCAATAGCCAAGTTAAAAGTACATGTTTACAACATGTTCCTTTGCTTACGCTTTCAATTAGAAACCATTCGAAATTCGATGAATATATTATTAGTATGAAACTATTCATTTTAGAAGAATGTTCTCTTAACTTCCCAAGGGCGCCATAATCCGTTAATTATTAAAACAAAAAACCTTCAAATAACAAAGACATGCTCACCTGTCAACATTCAAAAAAATTCAACAAAAAAAAATCTTTTATTGCAATAATAACGAATCTATTCAGATTCTCTTTGAATTTGTAAATTTACATTGAGTCAATATAATAATATCTATAGGAGCGGCCGACAAAGTTAGAAATGGCTCCCTGGATCTCAGGCCATTTCTCTGCAATGTCTGGGTATTGTTGTACGTATCCATCTTCGAAGAATGTGGTTCCAGAATGGTGGAAGAAGAGTACATGGTGATGCTTTTCTGGTCTGAATTGAATATGAGTGAGTTTACACTCTCTCTGATCAAGAATATCAGATATTTTTGACAAGCAAAAGTATCTGGCACTATCCAGAGCAGGGCATTCATGAATATAGTGATTAAGGTCAGATTCTGTGTTACAATCATGACAGAAACTTTTACCCTCACCAAAATTGATGTGGGCATTTGAAGAGTTTCTCCAAATATAATATTTAGATTTAGGAGACAAATGGGATTTAAGGTAGCTGACGTTGATAGAGTTCCAATCTAGGTTAGGTATGTGATTGGGGTGACTCTCAATCTTGTCAAGCATTAGCCTTAAATGTTGTGAGGTAGTTAACCTCTTATAGTCAAAGATTATAATATCGTTCTTTGTGAGGATATATTGATTAAAGAGTAGTTTACGGATATCAAAGATTTTAGGTTTCAGAGTTGCATTCTTTGCCAATAAATCAACTTTGATATTTTCCTTATCCTTATGAGCTTCAACTTTCTTGAATTCATATTCAAGTTTTCTATCCTTAATGGTTTTAAAGAAGGCTTTTTTTAGTGGTAGAAAGTTTCCCTTATATCGTTCTTTGAGAACTTCAATTGCCACATTACTATCAGTATGGATTTTAATCTTGGAGTCTCTTGGGATAACTTTAGCTGCTGTAATAATA